AACTTGTGGCCATTGCACGCGGTACTGGGGCTCCTAGCTTTCCCGCTCTTGGGTCATCTGAGCCCTAATGATTGAGGCTTCTATATTAACTGTCGAAAGGTTAGGGTTTCGGCGTTCAGACTCGGACGAGCCAGGCGAGGGTATTGGTGCGTAGTCGGATGAAGTGAACCACTTCATCCACCCAGAGACTCCAATATCCCTGAATTAAAGAATATACCTTAAATCTTATTAGGGATCCTACTATAGCTTAAGGTAGATTCCGTAATTAAGGGATATTGGAGTCTCTGGGCCACTTCCAGGAACATCGCAATCTGTAAGGGTTTAGGGTTGAGGGGTGGGAGTAGGGAACTCGGTTCGGGAATATCCGACTGTTATTTGAGTTTGCACGGCATTACGATAACTCTGCCCCAATTTCCTGGGCATACTGGAAATCCCAAACATGTGCAACTTAACCCTTAGGAGCTTAAGCCCTAAAATCAAGGCATTCACCGAGAGCCTCCCTAGGTCCAGCCATCTTCATGCTGTACGGCAGGTAGGCCCATCGGAACCTTCACTGCTCGTAGCACGAGAATCTTGTAGCCAGGGGTGCAGAGGTCGGGGAGCAGGCAGGTGCATCCAGCCAAAAGCTGAGAGTTAACGCCCGTCTGCAATAGTCAGAACAGGATCTTGCGGTAGAATACACCATTTTTACAACAAGGATCCCTAAACACTGCTATTAATAGTTACTCAACCCCCCCCCCCCCTCAATGTACCGAGCAACATCGGGTACTCCTTCTCGGTCTCCGTCTTCAGGGCCTCGTAGGTCTGGATGCGCACGAGGCCATCGATGTCACCCGGCTGAGTGGGTCCGCAAGTAGGATGGACAAGGAGGATGGAGTCCTTCACGTCCTTCCTTGGGTGAGTGAGTATATCATGTGAGGCTTGGCTTGGATAATCGTAAATGCGATGGAAATTCTTCCAAGAGCAATAAAGCAGTCTGTGCCTCACCCCTATAGACCTTGAGACCATCACACATGCACTTGGTTACTCTCTCTCTCTCTCTCTCTCTCCCTCCCTCAACAACATACCCTCACACACGACCACATCAACTCTGAACCCTAACCTACAGCCCTTAGAACCGTAGACCCTAAACCCAAAACCTTCACCACCATAAGTCCTCAAATCCGGATCCTGCCAGCCGAACTCAGCAAAGGACCTCACTCTTGAACCACGGTACAGGGTTTTTACACTCATACTCGGACAAGCCTGGCAAGGTCTGCAGCAATACTGGTCCAAGGGTTTAGGGGTTAAGCGTTGAGAGTTTCTAGCTTACCCAGTAGCCCCTTCATGTTCAGGGTTCCCTTTTTTCCTACTACTCGCTTTGAATAAGGCTACCAGTGGGAGACCTAATGAAGATTATACAGCCTGAAGTCCTCGGTTAAAGCATAACACTCAATGCTGCGCCCTCTCGCATACTAATGTAGGGGCCTTAACAAATAGAATAGGGTTTTTTGGAATACATTAAACTATAATTATGATAAGGAACCACTAAAATGGTATAGGTAATTATTAAGGCCCCTATACTAAACGGGTTCCTGCTAAGGAACTTCGTATAAGTCACCGACGACAGAGATTCCAAATGAAAGAGAGCAGTGTCCAGCTTATGGGTCCTGAAGTTAATATATATATATATACATATACATATATATATATATATATATATGTGTGTGTGTGTGTGTCTATATATATATATATAGGGGCAAAGCCGCTTGAAACCGGAACCCATTCACAAATGATGCTCCGAGTGTCTGGGCACACACCAACAGCTCGAAGTGAGCACGATGAATGGGGTTACGGTTCTGGAAGGCGACCACCTTCTTGCCGTGAGGATAAGGGCCCCTGAACGCCAAACGATTTAAAGGCTGATGGCCTATCCCTAAGACTCCAAGTATACAAATACTACCTACTTTAGGGTCTAAAGTCTGTAGCCCTAAGGCTCATGGACCCCCTTAGTGAAAGCCCAAACCTTAGCCCCCAAAGCCCAAACCTTCTCCCAGAAAGCCCATAACAGCAATAAGAGCCTTAGGGTAAAGTAGGTAGTTTGGGCTATTCGGAGTGGTAGGGCTAGCATCGTCCTGTATGTGTCGGGTTCCAACCTTCGAGATGCCTGCGGACTGTAAGTCGTCCGTCTTTCTTTCAGGTGAAAAATCCTTCCTTGAGCCCAAAGAACCTATCTTTTTAAGGACTCATAGAAGGAAATCCTTAACCCCAAAATCGGCCTAGTTGCATCACAAATGTTGAACCTACGCGTGAAGAAGCCCGACAACTGGAAACCGCACATGGCCTCCATAGAAGCTGCTTGACAATGGAGGAGTCTGTTAACAGTGTTCCTTTAGCTGGAAAGGATAAACCTAAACGCCAAAAAACATGATTTCGACTCTGCTTACTGGGGCTTAAGGGGGAGTGGCAGACCATCTAATCCCTTCTAGTAGTCCCTACACTGCCTCCACGACCCTCCCTCATTTCTCAGGCACCAGTCACCAGTATTTCCAGGATCTGGGGCTCCGACAGGGATGAGGAGCTTTCCAACTTTACAGAGACTCAGGGTTGAGGAGTGGTCTCGTTCGCCTCGGATAAGAACACCTGCTTGTTCTCCCTTGAGCCTTGAAGTACTAAAGCCATCTGAATCACGCCTTAAACCAGCGCCCCAATCCTAAATGGTTTAGGGCTTAGGTTTTAGGGTCCCGGGATTAGGGTAACAGCAAACCCTACAACCCTTCAGGGAAGAGCAGAAGTCCACCTGCTTGTTCTCGGGCAGTGTGGCCCGGACCTCGGCCGGAGTCTGCGTCGGGTAGCCGAACCTGTGCTGGAAGCTTCGGGTTTAGGATTTAGGGTTTCTAGGGTTTAGGGTTCAGGGTTTTAGGTTTTGGGGTTTAGGGGTTTAGGGTTTAGGGTTTTAGTTTTCAGGGTTTAGGGTGGGCAGGGGGGATTTGCTTAGGGCTCAGTGGAAGGTTTGGAGTTCAAGATTACAGTCGGCTTTAAGGTTACTATAGGGTTTTATGTGTGTGTTTCCCCCAATGCTGTTTCGCCTTTCACACTCGAAGCCACCAAGCAACTGAGGAGAAGATAGCACGACCAGAACTCAAATTCTGTTCCGACGCATCTCACAAGCGTTCGATGCTGCATAGGGTTTTTGGAAGTAGAGAAATTGGGTTTTGGGTTCACGGCCTGTTCTGAGCTTTCTAGGGTTCTTCGGGGAAGTGCGAAAGAATGGCTCCCCCCAAAACCCTTTTGCATCCAGCCTGCGGCGCC